ACACCAGATAGTCTGGTACAAACGAAGTTATTGAATATCCTTTACTATAAACATACCTACACCAGATAGTCTGGTACAAACGAAGTTATTGAATATCCTTTACTATAAACATACCTACACCAGATAGTCTGGTAAAAATGAAAAGTTATTGAATATCCTTTCATTACAAATTACCAAGAATGTTATATCAGAAACTTAAATAATTGCAAGAAAAAAATTAACTGCTTGGAGGGAAAGATTGATACAGATGAAATATATGTTCATTAAAATATATTTCAACGGGTAAAATCAAACGTGTTAAAAATGACAAAAAACACCAACAACAAAGAAATTTACAATGGCCAAAATAAAATAAAAGGTTGAAAGCTAAAGTTGTTTGGTACATACAGTGCCTTGCAAAAGTGTTCACATTTGAAGAATGATTTTTATTATATATTTTCGTTTTTAACAGTGACGACTGACATCGAATTACCTGATGATCTCAATACTAGTCTTTCTTTTGATTCCGGAGTCAGCACCCCCTGCCGAGCAGTTTTCTCACCTAGGCTTGCTCCACAGTGTTCTTCAGGCTCCTATACATCTTTAGTATCTTACGTGAGAAATCCAGCAGTTCGATGTCACTTGGAGAAACCTTCGCCTCGTTCCTTGCAGGTTTCACCAGCACTTTCTCAGCGTTCATTATATGCTCAACATATACTTTCAATAACGACTGCAGATACAACAATGAAAAATGGTGGATCTGCTGCTGCTACCTCTGAATTTTCATACATACGCTCTGATGTACCAGTTTCTAGTCTTTCTACCAGAGGGAGCCTCGGTCAACTGTGCCAAACTTCAACAAATAGTGAGATAAATAATCATGAAAGTTCGTTGTCATGCTCAAAAAATGTCCTTGCTCAGCTCGAAAGACTTCATATTTTAAGCCCACCAGGTGAAAACTGCCGACCTTCTAGCATTTACGGACTCCCTTCCTTAACATCAGAAAAATCTGTGTTTTCAACCACGCCACCAGATGTCGTGCCAGTTATTCTTGACGGCCACCCTGGATTGAAACAGCCTTATAAGCGCTCAGCGCGCCAGTATCATCACACTAAATCAGATTCATCATTTCTTCTTAATAAGCTGAGCTTCGGCTCTAAAGACTTAGGAAATGAAACGTTGGAATTGATATAGTTCTGTTATATCGACTGTGATAAAAGAAGTGATTTTGTGTTCCTATCCTACCTTAGCAGTTTTCACATGTTCTGTTTAATATTTTGTAAGGTAACCATAAAAAGTTAAAACACTTTTTCAAAGTATAGATTTACAAAAATGTGTGAAAATGTACTTGCATGTGTGTTAAAATGACGTAGATTATCATTCAGAAGTCATTTACTTGCATTTCTTTCAATAATAATGATAATAACAACATTAGAGGAGAGATTATGAAATACAACTTCGTTAAATGGAAATAGTTGTAAATTTTAGTTAAAATTATTTACTTTCTATTATGTGGTGCCATCTTTCGGCTATACTTGTAAATTGAACAGCGCGAATTTGTATAATGCACACAATAACTTTTTCTTTTCCTGAAAAGCTATTATACGTTTTTATATCTTGGCGTTTAACTAGTTAGTTCGTATTGAAATTTGTTGGTCGTAAAAACTCCAATCCTAAAATAAAACTTGACTGTGCTGTTCTAATCTTTTGAGGGACATGACTTGATGTTTCTACACATCCCACGTTATTTAAAAATGTTTAACAAACTTCTTGAAATGTTGAAGTATTAGTGAGCAGGTGAGGTATTCTGGGTAATCTTAGTTGTGAAAATAGGATACCTTTTATACCGAACTTGAGATAACAACTTATTTTGTTGTTGGTTTTTAATATCTTTTATTGTTGCTTTTCAAATAACGTGAAAGAACGTGCGGTGAAAATAATTAATTCAGCGTTTTCAGAAAAAAATTATATTCTCACTTAAAATTATCACGAGAAACTCTTAAATACCAATTAAAAACTTAATATTTATTAGTCGCGCTGGACACATTTTTTTGTTTTCATTTCAATTAAAATGTTGAAACTCTTTTGAGAAGAAAATATCACGATGTTTATTGGCTACTGGGTACTTCTATATACGTAATTTTTGTTGAATGTATGTTTGTACGAAAAGTTCTTAAATTACAGCTGATTTATTATATATTTTCGAAACTCAAATATTAAATTTTCGTTTACGAGTGGAAATCGTTATTTGTTATCCTAGTGGCAAACACACTAATTACATACTTTTGCTGTGTGTGAAACTAGTTTTGTCCAAGCCATCTGTAGTCAGAACTTTTCATGATAAGGTTTCTATTAGATTAGTATTGTTTACGAGAATAAATTAATTACTGTCTCACGTTTGGCATAAATCTCAAATAGGAATTCGTTGACAATTTTATAATTCTCAAAAGCTGTTTATAAGTGGCGCTCTCTTCAACTTACTATACTATATTAAAATAATGAACATTCAATGTAAATCTAAAAATGTACTTCAGTTTTTCGTTATGAAAATTATCGATTTAAATTAATTTGTAATCTAAACGAACAGTTTTGTCTCGTACACTAACAGATGGCGCAAGCTGTTTAAGAGATGTAAATTTCAGAAACTACGCGAATATTTTAGTATTTACGTGAGCATTTTTCTATCTATTTCAGTAACTGCAAAGTATTTAAGTATGTATAAATATAATAACCATATCCCAAGTACAAGGCTTACTATTGACCTTATTAGTCTTTTGTTAACTTTTCCTGTGTCAGTGAATATAACACAAACTTTAAACGCTCTGAAATATGTTGAGCTAATCATATTCTTTCCTTTTTGCATTTGTATGAACTTCTATTACAGTTAATAATATTGTTTATATGTAGTCAAAATTGAATTATTTAAATTGAAATTTCTGATACAAAATTTTATTTCGTTTGCCTATATATCTATCTGTGAAATTTATTGTCCCAATGAATGATTTCTTAGTTTTATTATCAACTGTCTCTCTATTTAAGCTGTTTTTCTTTTAATGTAAATATTTCTTGGTCACACGTTATGTTTACTTTTTGATAATCTTCTTTTACAGCATACAATGAACCTACAATTTTCTATTATCCCCATTTGTAAGAAAACAGTTTGCCCCTGAAGAAGAAAGGTCCACCTTTCGAAAGCGCTCGGGTTATAGAGTTTTTATTCATTTCTATCAAGATTTCTTGAACTTACGTGTTTTTCTAACATCATCAATGATACAGTGAAGAAGGGTAGGGCTGGACTAAGCACTTTAGGGATCTTCATAAATAAGTAAAATACAGTTCAGTACTATTTATTAATTACAATTTAAGCGATACGTAAACACAAGCGATGGGTAGATAATGTACAATATACTAATTCTTATATTTATAATAAATATAAAGTAATAACAACGAAATGTTATATCAAATATAAATCAATAATAACGAATTTCTATAATGATTACAAAGTACTGACAAGGAATTTGTTTTGCTAAACAGTTATTTGTGAAAAAACAATCTAATAAAAAATTACAAAATGATAGGTTTATATGAGTAGGGTTTGATTTTTCGACTTTTTGTAAACGTTAATTTCTAATAAAATAAGAATTTTACATATTATTGAAAAATATAACTTAACTACTGATGCAGTAATCTAAGAAGCATGACGAATGGCAAATATTTAGCGTGATTAATTATCTAATAGAAGTGATGTTAAAAACCAACATGTTTTGAAGACAAGCAGTATGGGTAAAATGCTTTGAAGGATTTTTTTTTTCATCCAAAAATTACTTCCTGTAAAATATTGCATATTATCAACTATGTGAAGCGAGTGCTAGGAAGACGTGTTTCTTCCTTTTAAAAAATCATTCATTCAAAGTACAAAACCTTAAAAATTTTTTTATTATGAACAGTGATCTACATCAACCACACAAAATAAATAGGTAGTTTATTGTCATATAAAAGTTTGTTTTTAAACATTTTAGAATGCACAATGAAATGAATGTATACACAATAATAAACAATTTATGGAAGTGATTTGCTCATCATTATAATTTTTTAATTGATTAAAATCCTGTTTTTGTTTGCAAATGATTGATTCTAAAGTATTAAACGTTTTATTGATAAAGTGTGTGGTCCTTTCTTTCGAGACTCGTCTGTTTATTCACTAGAAATTTAACTTTCAAAAGAAATAACGTTTTATTCAGGTACATTTGTGTCTTTCTTCCCGAAGCAACAAGTTAATGATTTTATAAAGTTTCGTACTTTTATAGTCTTCACATTAGACAGTATAAACCGACAATAAAGTTATTCTTAGCAACCTTATACACATTTAAAAAAATTGTGATTATCAGGGAGCACGGTAGCGATCTCTGTATAGGGATAAGTCCAGTTCTTGTTTTTCGTTCATTTTTATCTTCTTTTTTTCTTTTCTGTTAGTTGTAACTTATAAACTACAAGTGTGACTACAACCATCCTACACATCAAAACACTTCACTGACACTTAGGATGTGCCTTTTCAACCTAGAGTCCCAAGTGGTCCACGATAGGTTAGTTACAGCCAAAAATATATTGAATGATACAGATTGTTTACTATTGCTCAATACACATATCAGTCAATAGATGGTGCGACGTTTGATGGTAATCGCAAAAAGTACAGAAACTAGAAACAAAATAGAGCATTTGGAATGGAAGGAAAATCTATATTACTCATTCCTTCATTCAACTACCTAACGTATATATGCATCCACCCTATAAGTGGTAGAATACAGAAATGGGGGATTTTCAGGAATTCCTTCCATCCCAAGTGCTCTCCAGTTTCTAATCTTTTCTCCATCTCTGTATCCCAACAGTTTTAGAATACAATTTTTTGTTACTAGTAAGAGATTAATCCTGTCTCTAACTGGTTTATGAATTGAGTATTAATGAAGTAAATAAAGTGTACATTAAGCACAAATAATAGGCTATCTGTGTTCTGCCCACCACGAGTATCAAAACCCGGATCCTAGCGTTGTAAGTCCTCTGTGGGGGCAAGTGTATTAGTGTCTACAACAGTGTCTACTTGTATGGACAAACCTGTTAACATATTTTCTTTACATTCTGTTAATAAACAAAACAGCCCCCCAGTGGCATAGCGGTATGTCTGTGGACTTATACTGCTAGAAACCGGGTTTCGATTCCCCTGGTGGGCAGAACACAGATAGGCCTTTGTGTAGATTTGTGCTTAATAACAAACAACAACAACTAACCAAACAATCACTATCTAATTTTTCCTAGCAAGGACCTTCCACAAACAGATTTATTTACAAGTCAATCACGAGATAAAGGGTGTTTTATGTATGAAGAATGGAAAATTAAAACGATATTTGAAGTATATATATATATTCTATTTTAAATTTACATAAAAACTATTAAATATTTTGGGCAAAAAGCTCGTTCTGATTAATATTTCTCTCATCAACTGATAATAATACCTAAGTAACTGCAAGCTAAATAGAAGTAATGGTTGGTAAACAACAAGGCTGAACATTTGACTACGACTTATCTACTCCATCCAATTAGTTTTATATTGTTAAAAGTTTCAAAGAAAATTGAGTCGCTAATTTGTTCGTTGTATGTGTTTAGTTGTCATGATGGTAGCTTGTACGATCACCCAAGAGATAATTAGTAGCTAATATTAATGAATATATAAACAAATTATTGACTATTTAGTAATTAGAGTATGATTTTATAGGCCAGTTCACACACATCTTTATGTCGGCCCCATCTTTCTAATCATGCTCCCTCCCGCATCCCTTATAACCTATTTGTGTATATATATATATACTGTACAAGTCATTGTCCTCTGTTAATTGTTGTTACTATAATACTTAGGCCCGGCATGGCCAGGTGGATAAGGCGCTCGACTCGCAATCTGAGAATCGCGGGTTCGAATCCCCGTCTCACCAAACATGCTCGCCC